GATGGACACTATGGACACCACATCCCAATCACAGCCCATGGATGTTGCACCCGCCATGGCCGTGGCCGCCACCACAGTGGGCAACGCCACTTTAGTGGACTTTACGGCCACAATGGTCTCTATGGCTGCCACAGCGGAGAGCAACAACAATCACATCGATATGGCGGAGTACAAGGAGCATCGCAAGAACAAAAAGAAGAAACGTGACAAGAGGGAGAAGGAGGGCAAGGAGCATCGCCATCATAAGCACAGGGATCGGGAGCATCGTGAACATCGGGAGCATCGCCGGCATCGTGAGCGGGAGCAGCGGGAGCGAGAGCGCGAGGTGGTATCGTCGCATCATCTTCACAACAGCAGCCAGCACTCGACATCCGCCTCGTCCTCGCCCTCGTCCGCCTCCACCACACCCTCGGCTACCATTGAATATGTGGGGGGTTCGGCCTCTGCATCGCCCTCCTATTTGGGAGCTGCCACGGCAGGAGGAGGCAGCGGCGCCAGCGGAGGAGCCACCACAGCAACAGCCACCACCACGTATCCGCACAATTTAAAAATACGCTTCCTGCTTTCCGGGGTAAGAAACAGTCGTAGATCCACGGCGCCTGGCAGTCGCATCTGTCCATGCCAATCCCTCAAAATCTATTTCGGGAAATCCCTGGAAGAAGCTGTCTCTCTGACCTGCTGTGCTGTCTTTTTGTGGCAAAAGATGCTGTTGGTTCTGTCTTCTTATGGCAGATACAACTGTTGCAAGTGTTCTTTGAAAGAACAAGATATTCCTGGATCCTTAAAGGGAGGCGCACTTTTGGAATGGATTACAAATCATTCATAGGAAAGAGCTAGAAGATTCTTCAGGGGAGAGATAAGCAACTGATGTAATGCGAAAGCAGCATTCAAAAGAGAGAGAAGTATATTCTTAGATTGAGAGATCGTTTGGGTAAATACCTGCAGGCTCTATGAGAATTATACACTAAAAGTGTGTGTTACAGCCGATTAACAGTTCAATAAAAACTCGGAATTATGTACTCTAAGGCCAAAGACATATTCCAGAAAATTCAAAGGCCATTCGAGAACTCCACTCCCCGTTTGTAAGGATGATTGATCCCTGTTCCCTGGTTTCGCCTATGCTGATAATGTTTATCCTCCATTAAGATCTCAAATTTATCAGCGTATTCTTCAGTAGATATTCCCATCGCTAATCGAAGCAACCCTCATGGTGTTTTCCCAATTCGATCGGCCATGTCTTTGACACTCCATCAATTATTTAACCGCATTGCTTATGTGCCACTTGTGTGCACTCTGCCGCATGCAGCTGCACCACCATCACTTTGGATGTTTCTGAAGGCGGTGAGAGCAAGCCACCTGCCACAGGGACATAACACAAAAGAAATGTTGTAAAGAGAGGGGAAAGAGACACCTTAAATTATGCCCGGGGAATGCCAATGCCCCGCCTTTGTCCGCATTTACATCCACACTGAATGCTCCAATTGTCGGGTAGTGCATATCCTTTTATATGCGTACATTTATCGGATATTGAGTTTGTATTATTGATTAGTGTAAGTGCCTACCAAACGAGGGAGAGACAGCTGTTGTGCCACGTATCACGTAGCTTCTTGTTCCTTAAAGGTAGCGCAAGAAACATGCATACGTATTCCTCGTGAGCCCAAGGCCGGTTTTTCACTGGCCATATCCTTGGATCGGATAGCCCTCTGTATTTGTATGGTTGGCACATTTGCGCCTAGTTTACGACAGCTGCTACAAGATGCTTCCTTATCTTGTGCCTCTCTTGCCTCATGGGCAACGTGAGCTCTTCTTCTTACCCTCTTCTTTTCCTCCGCTCTAGAGCTGCAGCTACCCTTAGTTTTTTGTACTTGCTGTTGCTTCCTGGGCGGCTGATTGATCCTTTCCTTCCATTCGATCTGGTTACAGCTGCTGTTTCACGTCCTACCTGAGGACAATGTCTTGAACTCTACGCTGGCTGTCAGGACAGGCCCAAGACGAGTCGTGTCTTTCTCAACTCTTGCTCTAATTGTTATTTTAATTGGCATTCATTGTTTCGTTTACCTTTCGTGCTTCCAAGGCTACTAGAGGATTAGAGCTAAAGAAGATATCTCTGTATAAACTTAAGATGGTTTCTATTCTCTGTTTGGGATTATAAAGATTAAAGATGTTTTCAAGATGCTTGGATTGTTGAAGACCTTGAAAAAACACTTGCTATAACTTGTTGTTCTAGTAGCACAACAAACATCCACTATTTTGTGTGGAAATCCTACATGAATCACTTCCCTTTGATCTCTGATGATTATCCCAAAGTTACTCGCACTTTTTACGAGCACTTTCAAACTCTTTAGACGTTCCTTTGTTAATTCCTTGGAATCTCAGCATTCCTTTTGATATTTCCTTCCCCCAACAGTTATCCCCCAAAAAGAACTATTGAATTCTCAATTCAATTTGAATAATTCTATCGTTCAATCGTTTATTTGTTGTACGATTCGTATCTAGTATGTTCTTTGCAAAATTCTTCAGTGCTGCCAAAAAAAAGGGAACAAGGACAACCCTTTTATGCGACCATTATCCCACAGCATTGTTGTGAAAGGGAAGTACCAGCTCCATAGAGAGGGAGTTGTGTGTGGATGGAGAAATATCCCAGACACACGCTAATATAATATTTATAGTTGGTATTTTATTTCCGGCTACGCTCGACAATTCTTCTTATTGAATTTGCTTGGAAGTAAAATTGAAATGTGTCGCGGAAGCGAATTCCCAACAAACCAAAAAAAAGGGGTTGATTGTGCATGCCGGTATCGCGTTGTGCTCCGCGTCTGGGCCTGCCTGGGGGTTGTGGGCCATTAGCTTCAGCAACAGGATAATCAAAGCGCGCGCCTGAAACCTTCCGCCATTGTTTGTCCGACAGCTGCCCCCGAAGCAGCCAGAAAGAGAGTGTGGGATACGAAACGTGAGAGAGAAGCGGGAAACTGCGAAAATCTTCTAGAAACTTGGCCATGAAATGGTAGTAGACAACATTTTTTGTCACACCCCGAACGGTGGCGACATAGAGAGGGTATTATGATTCTCAACAGATGTTTGACCAGATGCCGAAGCTGAGGGAGACCCACTGGGCGGACACTTCCACAAAGATATAATTTGTTGCTGATTAGCATTGACCGTCTGTCGTCCACTTGTTAATCTGCTTTTAAATGCCAGCTAGTCTCTCATATTTCAATATATAGGACTGACGAATAATTTATTTTTGCTGGCTGGGACTACTATTACATTCAGAAATAGATAAACAGTAAACTGTAAAAATATCTGTTTAAATGTATCAAAATTTAATTCCTGTTTCACATTACTATTATACTTGCAACCAATACATCTTCTAGGGTATTTAGGGAAGGTATTTTAGATGAAATACATGCAACATGCTTAAACATAAAACGGGTATTTTTAAGTACTCTCAAACAGAAAGGACCTGACCCCACACACAGTTAAGCATGTTGCATGTATTTCTTCGTTGTATCTCTTGACCCAAATCTAATCAGGCATGAAGGTGTTTCTTTTGCTTGGAAATTTGACACTTTTTAAAATGTCATTCGTGTGCGACTCCTCCTCGGAGTTCTCTCTCTTTTTTCCAGCAACAGGCTCTAGGGCTAGGGGCTGCCAACTTGTTGGAATCAAATGTCAATTCAATGGAACAATTCCTATTGGAACAAATGTCATCAGGTGGCAACGCCATTCATAGTTTTTTTTTTGTTGGCCTACGTGACCGAAAACTACATTGTAAATGGGGGTACATACAACGTGCAACAACAGCAGCAACAAAAACAATGGAACCCCACTCCCTCTCGCTCTCTGCCTCTTTTTCTTAGACTGTTCCCACATCAGTGCGAAGCTGTTCCCATAAAAGAGTGAGAGACTGTTTCACCATAGATTGTGAGAGAGAGGTCACAGAGGGAGAGTGAGTTGTGAAGTGAAGAGCGGGTGGGTGTTGTTGTGTTCTCTCTCTCTCTCTCTTTCTTTCTGTGTTTGCTGTTAATGCAGCTGCATTAGTTGCTGTCTGCTGCTGCTGCGATGCATTTTTTTGACTCGTCTGTGACTCATGTTGCATGTCGTTGTATTTTATTATATTCTGAACAACAGCAACAGCAGCCAACATCAGCGATAAGAGCTTTTTGAGTTGCATTTATGTGTTCGTCCGTCCCTTTGGCAGCTTTTGATCTATTTGGAACACATGCGGCGCCGCTTAAGCCCCCTACCCCTCTATCACGGTATCTTCCGTTCTGCCCTGCTTTTGTCACCCTACATATGTTCCTACTCCTCCTCCCAGTTTAGTGTAGTTATTCCTCTCTGCACTGCTGTTCCACCGTCTCTTTTCAGTGCTGTTATTCCTCTAGAAGCTCTCTGTTAGAGTATCAAACATCTAGGTACTTTTTGTAACATTTAACATCACTGCCGCTGGAAGGAGGCCACTGTTAATGGTTTTGCGGCTCCCCCCTTGCCATGTGATTTTTATTTGTGTCTTGTATTTGCGTATTCTTTCGGTTGTAAACATGTGTTTACACGTCTCACCATTAAAAAACATCAACCATTTACCAGAAATCCAGCAACAACACACAGTCAACGACAGCCGCCGGATGTTGCTAATGACCGCAAAGCCAAAAGGCAAATCTAAAAGAAAAACGTGGGGTCTGAATTCACACCGAATATGGGAATACACTTGTAAGCAACAGGCTTCACTTTTGGGAAGGAAGTTTTGACCGTCCAAAAGGAAGGCTTGGAGAGATTTCTTGAAAACTAATAATTTCCTGCCTCAAACTGAGGAATGCTTCAACAGATCCATTCACAAAGTTATGCAACCCCTTTTTTCTGTTGTAACATGAAATGTTAACCACTTGAAGATCGTTTTTTATGATCGCCGGCTTATCAGTCGAGAATTTTATCAGCTGTGAATTTACTTAGAAATGAATCACGCAAAACTTACCAATAAAAACCCTTTGCCCTTTTTGCAGCAACGAACGGAACTAAGTCCACCGACCCATCAAACATCCGTCACCGCTGAAGTGAATGCCACACCCGTCACAAGCGCCACAATAGCTGCCCCAGCGAGTACAGCAACAACGGGGGCAGTGACATCGGTTGCGGGTGGAACCACAACGGGCAGCAGCACTTTGACCAGCAATGCCACAAGCAGCAGTTCAGCAGGAGGAGCAGGATTGGCTAACTCACCAGCTGTGGGCGGGGGAGCGTCAGGAGTGGGTGCCAGTGGCTATCCAAAGACAGATTCGAGTAAAGCCAACACCAGCGGAAGCAGCAGCAAGCACGGCAGCAGCAGCAGTAGTAGCAGTGGCGGCATTAAGGAGAGCAGCAACAGCAATCCGCCACCACCTGCGAGTGGAAGTGGCAGCAGCAGCAACAGCAATGCCCCCAGCCTTTATGTCTCTGTGCCGCTGTCGACGGCCAATGTACCTGGAATCAATCTGCCATCAAGCAACAGCATCACTCCTACGAACCTCAGTGGTGGTAAGTTTTTCTTGTAATCTGCAGTTAGAGTACTGAAATAACGATCCTTCCCCCACAGATTCTCATGGGATGGCAGCTTCACGAAGCACCCAACAGCAGCAACATCAGACTGCAGCGAATCTGTCGGCACTGAGCGCTGCAGGAGGAGCGTACGCAACAGCAACAAGTGGCGCCTCAACGGTCATTCAGCATCAGAGCGGAAAATCTTCACCTGCTCTGGGTGGCAACGGCTCCCTAGTCAGCGGTAATAGCGGTGGAAGCATTATCTCCGCCAGCACTGGCAGCAGCACTGGAAATCTCACGGCCACCACCACAGAGAGTGGCAACCTGAAGATCAGCTACGAGAAGCAGACAACGCGTGTGCAACAGCTGCAAGAGCAGGAGGCACCGCCGGCCACGTCGCGCCGAAGCAGGTATGCAGGGTATTGCGAGAAGGGATATTATGACGAGTGTCTTCATGTTTTGTTGCCTGTGCAAGCTGCCTTTTAGTTTATAAATCACTCTTAAACGATAGAGATGTGTTTTACACCTTGATTGCTCTTTGGTTACCTGTAAAGTGTCTTGTTTCTTGTGTTTGATCCTGTTTCTGTTGCTCTTATGTGTCGCTTTCTGTGTGATATTTTAGAAGGCTGTGTTTCATTTTTAATCAATCATTTTGCACCCATCACTGCACCACCACCAGCACAGGAGGCGATAGGCTGACCGGGGCTGTGTGGTTCATTCGTTTTTTTGGTTCCAACGGGCAGCAGCAGCTTTTGTGTTTCATTTCATAAGAACATAAAGCTGCGATCTATAAACAAAATTACTCTCTCTTTTCTTCCAATCTCTCCTTCTCTTGTTATCTCTCGATTTGCTTAATGTCTTCCCTTGACACACCCATACCTACACCCACACCACACACCACACAAGTAGATCGCGCTCTGGTGAGAGCAGTGGCACCAGTAGTCATCATCACCACCATCATCATCACTCGCAGAACCACCACCACAACAGCAATAGTCTTCCCCCACATCATTCAACACAGGGGCAGCATCAGATGCAACAGCATCTAACATCGTTGCACCCTGCCGTCAGCGTAGGCAGCACCTCTTTGACCACCCCCAATACACCCGTCAGTAGCTCTGCTACCAACGCATCGAACACTAAAGCCCCATCGGGTGGACGTTCGGGAAAAAAGCGTGGAGCGGCACTCAATAAGAACGAAAGCAATGCCACGGGAGCAGCTGTAGCAGCAGCAGGCAATGTTGCATCAGCTACAGCAACCGTAGCGGAGAAACAAAGTCGCCATAGTTCGCCACATCAATCGCCAAGTGCAGGTTTGCCTGGAGGCATTGCCTCGCCAGTGGTGTTGTCGCTGTCCTCGTCGCAATCTTCGATAGACTCGCCACCCGCTGTGGCGGGTGGTGCATCAGCAGCTCCCATAACAGCAACAGCACCAACTCCAATTCGAAGCACGCGTAACAGCAGCAACAGCATACTGCTGCATGGCAATCATAATGGGGATCAGACCTCATCTCCGTGCTCATCCTCAACATCTTCCTCGTCCATGTCCTCGAGTGGTGGTGTTGTCCCTGTGGTGAATCTGCTGGATTCTCCTGTCAATATGTCCACAGGGCCATCGACAGTGGGTTACAGAGGGAGCAGCACGAGCACGAGCAACGCCAAGGGCTCAACTTCTGAAGGGAACTATGGCGGAAGCAGCGTCAGCAGTGGCACCACCAAGCCGTTGAATAAGAAAATGCTGCGTGCTCAGCAGTCGCAATTGTTTCAGCAGCAGCAGCAGCAGCAACAACCACAGACATATGCACCAATACCCGCTAGAACCTCGTCCCCCACAAATCTAACCTCTGCCTCATCCTCCGCCTCAGCCACAGCCACAGCTCCAATTCAGGCTAACTTTATGCACTTGCAACAGCCACAACAACCACAACAGCCACAGCAACCGCAGCAGCAGGCACAGAATCAACATGAAGATCTCGAAATATTACAATTCACTAATTCGATTCCTACCAATCCTTCTTCCACCTCCGTGACAACAACTACATCGATAACGAAATCGAACAGAACTCCGGATCTTGCAACAACATCGGCCGCAACTACATCATCACTGCCAAGCACAACAACGCTGACGAGTCAACAGTTGAGCCAATCAATGCTGCCCATTGGGGGTGGCCTCAAGTTCACCTACGAGAGTCAGACGCAGCAGCCGCACCTGGATGTGGCCATGCTGCCGGTAAGCTCCATCAAGGACTCGCCGCCGAGTTCGCCAGGCTCCGAGATTGGTGGCACAACGCAGCTGCATTCGGCAGGTGCATTGAGTGCCACAGCTGTGGCTGTACCCGCCCCACAGCCTGGAAATGTACGCAAGCGTGGACGCAAGGCCAAGGAGTCGACGATTGCTGCAGCAGCTGCGGCGGCCGCACAATCAGCAGCAGCATCAGCAGCTGCAGCCGCAGCAGCGTCGGCCACAAACGTACAGCAGCAGCCAGATCTCAAGGATGTACGCATCCTGCAAAATGGAGCTGCCAGCAGTGGTTCATCGAGTGGTCCGATCAGTACCCCCACGCCGCCGGCCACACCAGCGAGTTCGATCATTGCACACACGGCCACCCATATGCTGGGAAATCATGTGAATCCTAATAGCAGTGTGGCCCAGAAGCTCTCGGAGCAGCTGCATATGGAAGTGCAGGATCATGCCATCTACACGAGTGACGCGATGGGTTCGCAATTCGCGGGAGTGCCGTTCCCTGGGAAACAGGTAAGCAGAAGCAGTGTTGCTGTAAGAAGACATTATATTTCTCTCTCATTTTCACAGCGAAATAATACCAATGCCGCCTCCATGAATGCCACACCTGCACCGAATCCACTGCAGTCGATGTTTAGCGGAGTCGGAATGAATAGCAATATGTCGATACCTCAAAGCTTAGAGCAACTGCTGGAGCGCCAATGGGAACAGGGCTCACAGTTTCTCATGGAGCAGGCGCAGCATTTTGACAGTGAGTATGAGTCGCATTAAGGATGCCCTGTAGCGAATTTCTAATCTGTAAAATATTTAATCCCTTTCTCATTGTAGTTGCTTCCCTGTTGAATTGCTTGCATCAGCTGCAGAGTGAGAATCTGCGTTTGGAGGAACATGTGACCAGCCTGATAGCGCGGCGAGATCATTTGCTGGCGGTGAATGCCCGTCTACAAATCCCACTGAATCCGATCGCCAGCAAGGCCGAGGCGCATGGTAAGTAGAGAAGGCAAAACGTCCGATCTCTCTTGTAATTGGTGTCGGCACATACACACACATGACACTTGGCACTTGGCATTAGATGAGGCAGGATTGCAATGCCAAGCCATCCATCCATACCACAAACTCACGCACACACACACACACACACAGCCACTGATAACAGACCAAATTGATTACGTTTATTTGAATTTTTGTTAAAAATTTCTTTGTCTGTTGTTCGTATCCGTTGTACATACAAATCAATGCACCTGAATCAATGGATAGTCTTAAGTTATTCAAGTTATTCCTAAGTTATCCCTAAGTTAACAGTCAAACTTCTGATAAATTGTATATAATATACACCTACACCTACCTACATACATACACTGCATAACATAGTCAAATGATCAGACAATTTCCTCAATTAAATGCATTTTTCTTTGCCATGACAACACTCTTAAGTTAATCCATTTTACACGATAAATACCTTAATTATACCATATAAAAACACTAATATATTTACAAGTATAAGTATATTTACTTAAAAACTAATCATTTTCGATTTTATTTATTTGAAAAATGAATAAAATGTTTCAAAATGAACAAAAATTCTAAATTCGTTTCTCTAAGTTTGAAACAGTTTACACAGCTCATGTTTCCAACACGACGATGTGCACAGAAAAGATTTTACGCTCTCTCCTCTCCCGATTTTTGTTAGCTCATAAGTTTGTTGTGTTGCATGCCACACCACCACCACCACAAACACAATCACACACACACACACGCACATGCATAAACTAATACAATTTTGGATAAAGATGAACACAACAAATGTGGGCAGGGGATACCGATACTCACAATCTAACCAAAACAAATGCTTTACAGCTGCAACCACAACCACAACTTCTTCTACTTCTACTTCAACTTCAACAACCACAGCAACAACATCTTCAACAACTTGTACAACTTCTGTCCTTTCCACATTAGCAGCTTCCAACATGAGCGCTCTTAATGCGGCAACAACAATAGCGGCTGCCGTCTCCCTGGCCACTACGGCCATCAATACGACCACACCCACAATGGTGAACAGCCGCCCCACAGTAGCGCCGGCCAGCTCCAGCGGTGTACTAGACTATCGGGGAGCGGGTACGGGAACAGCGGGCGGCGTCAACAGCAACAGCAACAATGGCAACATGAGCAATAATCCTGGTGGGGCAGGAGCAACATCATCCTCGAATGTCAGCTCGGGCACAACCACCCCCATGTCTCTGAGCGGTATGACAATGAGCAATGCAGCCAGCTTGGGACTGAGGTGAGTGTTCACTCCCTAATCCCCACACAAGGGATGTGAAAAGAGATATCTCTAATTCGTAATCTCTGCTCCCCATAGGCCACATGTCTCTGCAGCACATGCGACATATAATAGCAGCAGCAACAGTGGCAGTGGCAGCATAAGCAACAGCAACAGCCTGCATCAGCATCCCTCCCAGAACCAGCAACAGCAACAGCAGCAACATTCACATCCGTCGCAACAACAAGTCGTACAGCAGCACTTGCAGCAGCAGCAACAGCAGCAGCAACAGTCGTCGTCGTCGCATCATGCCAGCGCCGCTGTTGCCGCCGCCCATATGCTCGGTGTGGGTGTGGGCGTGGGCATGGGCATGGGCGGTGCTGGCGGAGTGGCGGCGGCGGTTGGTGGCAGCAATATTGGACGAGGTGGGTCAGCGACAGCTCTAGCTGGTGCAACATCAACAGCAACAACAACAACAACCACATTTACAACAACAGTGGGCATGCCACTCCGCGTTGGCGGAGTTGGCGTTGGCGGCATTGGCCTTGGCGTTAACCTTGGCCTCGGCCTGGGCGATTTAAGTAGCACCACCACCACTTCCACCTCCTCCTATGCGGCGCATCACGCGGCGCTCTACAGCACGCATCATCAGGTAGTTGTGTGCGTGCGCGCCTGTATGTGTCTGTATCTCTGTGTGTGTGTGTGTGTGTCTGTAAACCTTGCATTCCCCCGAGGCTTTGTGCAATTTTCATTCATTTTGGTTTATGCTCATAATTCATACAATGTGCCCCTCACATATCTATTGTCATTCAGTCATTCAATCAACCAATCAGTCATTGCCCCAAAGAAATTTTTGAACACACGCACACACAAATCGTATCCATCCGCTTAGCCACCACCATCTCTTTTGCATTATAAATATCTCATTTCACTGCAGAAAACCCCAAAATTATATCTGGTTTCTTGTGTGCCAGGATGAAAGAGAAGACTTCATTCTATCCAAATAGAACCCCCATACGATATGTAAAATCACCTCTTGGAATACAACTCATAAATGTGTGTCCCTCTGTTTTACAGTCCCAGCTAAGGCGCGACGATAACCTCGCCAAAACCAGCTGAAAGTCATACCGTGAGCAAATGCAACAGAAGCAGAAGCCACAGCCGAAAAAGAAACCGATACTGGCCAGACGCGGAGATCGCAATTGCAACAGCAGCAGCAATTCTACGCCCTACTACAGCAAGCCGATGCCAGCGGAGCCACTTAGCTTTCAGCAACTACGCGATACAAATGATGATGATGTGAGTAAAACTGAATCAATAACACCATAAATATACATAACTAAACTGGTGTCTAAATTACAGCTCAGCAGCGACAACAGCAGCTCTTCCACGTTCTCCTCTTCGTCGCCTCAGCAAGAATCTTCGGTGGACTATGAGGCTGAGGATGAGAACGAGGACAAACAACGCAGGCCAAAGCATAAGGATGAGAATGAGAGCTTGTTGCATGTACAGAATTTTCTAAAATGCTTTGGACCCAATGCCTTATCAGCAGCTACCATAACAGCAACACCAGCAGCAACCACAGCAGCGCCAGTGGGTCAAACACCAACCAGCAGCCTGCATGCTGTCAAATCCCCGAGCACAGAGCTGCGTAGCTGGCGTCAGAACTATCGCAATACAATCCAAATAGTACCCACAATAAACACAGCCACCACAGCAATAGCAACAGCAAGTGCAACCAACACACCACAACTTTTACAATCCCAATCGAATCACAAGCCACAAAAATTTCAAATAAACACTAAATTTCTGCGAAAGCCAAGGAATAAATTAATGAAAATGCTGCCAACAACAACATTGGACAATGGAACAACGACAACCACCATGAGCACAAAAACAATAGTTGTTCTGGATGAGGAAAAACATGAACAACAAACAAGGGAAAAACTGCAACTGCAACAGCTGCAGCAACCACAGCTATTAAACGATGATTCCAACGCCAAATTTAAAGACTTTTCGATTGACTCGCTATTGAATAAGTAAAGAGAGGAAAATTGGAGTAAATAATGATGAAATTATTACTTAAAGTGTAGCCCCATTATTTTTTGTAGAACAATTCAACGAAAACAAAGAGCCCAAACCGCGTTCCTAACTTAACCCACTGCCACCACACCATACACCCTTAAAACCAAGCACACACATTTTGTTTAGCCAATCGTACCGATAAACAATATGAACATACAATAAGCAAACAACGTATTTTAATGCATTACAATTAGGCTGTTTATTTATTATTATTACATACATATTGTACAACTAGAGGCGCACTTTCATAATTATCGTAAGCATGTAAATATCTACTTAAATACGAGATAATAAACCAAGAAACACACATGTGCTAGAATTTAAGATTATGCGAATAATTTCACCATTGATTGGGTTGGGGGTCCTTTACTTTCGTGTCAACGACGACTCCAGGGCTTCACGCACGCGTATCATCATCTCGTTGCGAACGTCCTCTGGTACCATGGCGCGGGCCTGTCCAATAGAAATATATCAATTAAATTGGAACATAGTCGCATTGTACATATATCACCTACTTGAGGCACAATCTCGGCTGCCAGTTCCTCACTTGTTATAGTCTGATTTCCGCGCTCTGCAATTTTTTCACGAATAAATTGCTCAATTTGTCTACGCCAGCCGCATTCGATAAGACGGGTCTGCAAAATATCCTTCAGGCTACCGAAGGTTTATTGAAATGAAAACAATTTACAATTAAATTATCCACAAATCTTACGTGGCGCTTTCGCAATGTGTTAATTTAACATTTTCCTCCTTTGGCTGGGCATCAGTGCCAATTTCCTTGCTGTACGGCATGATACTAGGTTGTACAAATATCTGTTCAGTAAGTTACTATCTATTTTTGTTTATTTTAAAAACTAGTCTCATGGCCACTGTGACCGCGGAATTATCGATAAAATATACCGTCAGGGCCTCGAAAATGTACCGAATATACCCTTGTATTTTCAAAATATACTGTAAATATACCGTGAATCTTAAATTATTTTTGTTATTTATGTTTTGTTATATTTGATATTACTAGGTAGTTTTATTAAATTCATTAAATTCTCCGCAGGATTGGGTGATTTTATGAGGTATATTTCCTGGCAGAAAAGTTCAACCAAACAAAAAAAATATTTGCTATACTTAATATTATAGATCCATTTTATCAGCTGCTGCAAAATTTTTAAATTAATTCATTGAAATTGTGACTGTTTCGAAGGATACATCTTCTCCATCATCAACGATATGTTTTTTTTCAACGTACAAAAAGATGGTAAATCGGACAGTCTGCAGGAATTTATTATTTTTAATAAGGGATGGTATGTTAGCATTTTTGTGAATATTATCGAATCACAAAAGCTATCCTTTATTCTCTAGGCATATTTGCAATTCCTCTGGGAATTTAATACTCCTTCCTTTACGTATTGCATTTTATATTTATTTTTTAATTCTCGCCTAATTTTAATGATTTTATGGTATCCAATTTGTCATTGACCCATTTAAAGTTGGTTGTCGCAAACACCTTTTCCAAATGTTCTAGGATTTCATGTCTATGAGAAGCACATCAATTTGCAGCATTGAACCAATCTGTACATTTTCTCATGCATTGCTCAACAATATTTTTGACAAAATTCTTCGCTCATGGAGTTTGCTTAAAGAAATCGGGATTGTGAATTCTTAAGTGCAACGTGAAGCACGTGGGGAACATAACCTCTACGCCAGGTAAGTATTGGAGCAAAACTGTAACAAGTTACATATTTCGACGTGGCGATTTCCCCCCTGTAAAGGCGGGTGGCCAAATAATTCCCCTCTACCCAAGGGTAGAGCGGTAACTTAAAATCTCAAAAAAAATAAAATAAAGAAATCGGAAAAAATATGAATGTGCTGTATTGAATGCGTAACCATCTGATCACTTTGAAGTTTGTACCCATTAATGGTTTTCCCAAGTTCAAGCACAGTATTTTGGCAGCTGGGTGCACTCAATATTTAGTTCGCCAATAACACTGCAATGTTTTCTTCACGGCAGAAAGGTCATCATTAAAATGGAATTTAATAGGCCGATAAAATTTATTAAATATCCCATTATATACCGATATAACGTAAATATACAATGAACTCAATTTCGTGGTCAAAATATTCGGAAAAGTACATAATAAACCATAAAAGGACACCCTGCTCATGGCAGTGATGAGGTTTACAGGAACCAGTTCATATTCGGAACTAGTTATTCTGCGATGCCACATCGTTATAAAAATGTCTTGGCAGAAGAACGGAATGAGCACATTCTGATACCATGTGAAAAAAAATATTATAGAAGTGAGGAAGTACCTGTCATCCCTGGATCCAATTAATGCAGATACCAGTCATTCTATGTTTTAAATCTATCTTAAAAAAGTATGCAGAATAGGTATTGAAATCGAGATAGATGTGCAGTTGACTCGAAGTCATTATTAAGTTTTCATTAATTAATTACCGTATAGAGGGCATACAAACGTTGCATACTAATATCACAAATCCGGTTGACCAGCAACAATAACGTAACATCCAAACCCTGTTACGTTTTATGCTTTGATTCTTAGCTTAAACCTTATTTTACAACCGAAAGAATAAACAAGTTACCTTAAACATAGCCAATCATGTAGAAAATTGTTTCATCTATGGGATAAAATTATATGAAACTTGATGGGGGTCTTAATTAGCCACTAATATTGAAGTGAATATCAAATTCGAGGAACTGAATTCCGATCAACATAAACATAAACTATGTACATATACATATGTACATGTACTTATGAATGTATGAAGAAATGAATGTAAATACATATGTACATACTATTATGTATGCATGCCTGCTGAGCCGAAATATTCGCTTTCCTACTTTTATTAGATTTTTCTTTTATTGATCAAACATCAAAACTCATTCAAGCGCTCAAATGTGGGCTTGGGGCCTTCCTGTGTAGGAGCTTCAACCGCCCAATACATGCGACGAAAAAAGCGCCTTAAGCATCTCTGATATTGAGGCTTGTCGTCATCATTGAATGCGTTGGCTTGGCCCCTCAAGTCTATGCACAAATATGGTCTGACGGCATCACAGTGTATATGTGTGTACATGTTACATACTGAGTTGTATCTGGCTTAAATGAAGCCAACTGCTACACGATTTCTGCGAATCAGCTTTATTTGACGGGAAAACCATTTGAATTTGGCTTAAAACCTTGACTTTTCCGTAAATTATGCGACCGACTTAAGCCCTGAGTAATAAAAGTGTCTCAAAGAAGGGAAATTGCTTTTCTTTGGACATCTGCAGTAAACGGCATCAAACATACATAACCTCAATCGAGGTCGCCGATCTGCCGGCACTTCAAATGTGTATGTGTGTTCATGTGAATCCATTGTATGTATGCTTGTAAATGGCTTGGGTGGCCCTTTTCTTGCATTTCCTGCCCATTTCTTGTGTATTTCTGGAAATTCAATAACATCTGCAGCAGCTGCCGGTCTGTTTCTCGAAAATTCCGCAGCGCAGGCAGAGGTTGGGCGGCCTTTTACAACAACAAGCCGGTTTACCTAGGCTTCAATTTTGTTTTTGGAAAAGCAACCCTCTTATACACACACATGCGCATACATTTGCGTGGCATGCCATGTACATATGTACATACACATATCAGTTAGGAAATGAAGTCATCACACGATTTTGCCGAGTTGGCGTTGTTGCTGGCGTCGCTATGGCGATGACCATTATTATGCTGCTACGGCCTACACTCCTCACGGCCCACTCAAATGAATGACTCATCAGGCGACTAAAAAATCGATATATAAATGTATGCACTCTCCCCTAGGGATTGCAGCATGAAGTGCTTGCCGCACCCTGGGCTGGTACAGTCTGCACTAGCCACATGCATCATGAAATGGAGCAACTTAGAAAGCGGCACTATTATTAGATACAGAGAGCTGCGGCTGGTCCGCTTTCCCGTAATTATAGCTCCTCCGTTCAGTGAACTCTCTCGTCTGCTGGAAAAGTTTGAAACGGAAAATATGGGAAAAGAAAAACAACAAATGGAGAGATTTTCTTTTGCTGTCCAGACTGCTTTCAGCCGATTTTATTCTTGTACACAATTTATCGCCGTTTTAGTTTTTTTTTGTATCTGCGCTGTACGTGTCTTTGTTTTAATAAAATACTCATGGGTTATACTTTCTTGTTGTGGTTCTTGTTAGCGCTTCCTTTCTTGTGTTGCAGTGGAGTTTCTTCTTGTTTGGGCGTAGGCACTGGTTTCGACGAGGGCTGGGCCCCCATCCACCAGTGACGCCCCGGCTGTGCGTATGTGTGAAGCGTTTAGTACTCTTCAGCACCCTCGCCCTCACCGTCGCCAGAGTCCATGCCGACCTCCTCGTAGTCCTTCTCCAAAGCGGCCAAATCCTCACGGGCCTCGGAGAACTCTCCCTCCTCCATACCCTCACCGACGTACCAGTGGACGAAGGCACGCTTGGCGTACATAAGATCGAACTTGTGATCCAGACGAGCCCAGGCCTCGGCAATAGCCGTGGTGTTGGACAACATGCACACAGCGCGCTGCACCTTGGCCAGATCGCCGCCGGGCACCACAGTTGGGGGCTGGTAGTTGATACCGACCTTGAAGCCAGTGGGGCACCAGTCCACGAACTGGATGGTACGCTTGGTCTTGATGGTAGCAATGGCGGCGTTGACGTCCTTTGGCACAACATCACCACGGTACAGCATGCAGCAGGCCATGTACTTGCCGTGACGGGGATCGCACTTGACCATCTGGTTGGCTGGTTCGAAGCAGGCGTTGGTGATCTCAGCAACGGACAACTGCTCGTGGTAGGCCTTCTCGGCGGAGATGACGGGAGCGTAGGTAACCAGAGGGAAATGGATACGTGGGTAGGGGACCAAGTTGGTCTGGAATTCAGTCAGATCCACATTGAGGGCACCATCGAAACGCAGAGAGGCGGTGATCGAGGAGACGATCTGTCCGATCAGACGATTCAGATTGGTGTATGTGGGGCGCTCAATGTCCAAGTTGCGGCGGCAGATGTCATAGATGGCCTCGTTGTCGACCATGAAGGCGCAGTCAGAGTGCTCCAGGGTGGTGTGGGTGGTCAGGATGGAGTTGTAGGGCTCGACCACGGCGGTGGAGACCTGGGGAGCTGGGTAGATGGCGAACTCCAGCTTGGACTTCTTTCCGTAGTCCACGGAGAGACGCTCCATCAGCAGAGAGGTGAAACCAGAACCGGTACCACCACCGAACGAGTGGAAGATCAGGAAGCCCTGGAGGCCAGTGCACTGATCGGCCAACTTGCGGATGCGGTCGAGCACCAGGTCGACGATCTCCTTACCAATGGTGTAGTGACCACGGGCGTAGTTGTTGGCGGCATCTTCCTTGCCGGTGATCAACTGCTCGGGATGGAACAGCTGGCGGTAGGTGCCAGTGCGGACCTCATCCACAACAGTTGGCTCCAAGTCGACGAAGACGGCACGGGGCACATGCTTGCCGGCGCCAGTCTCGCTGAAGAAGGTGTTGAACGAGTCATCACCACCGCCCACGGTCTTGTCAGAGGGCATCTGACCATCGGGCTGGATACCGTGCTCCAAGCAGTACAGCTCCCAGCAGGCATTACCGATCTGGACACCAGCCTGGCCAACATGGATAGAGATACATTCGCGCTGTAACCAGAGAAGAAAAGAAACGATGATTAATAACACGCCCGACAAAAAAATCAATAGTCCGCAGAGCCGCGCCCAAGATGATGCGGCCCTGTCTCTCGACACATGTGTATGTATGTATGTGTAAGCGAGACGGCAAGATGGTATACCAGAAAAAGAAAAATGTCTTTTGCCGACGCCGCATTTTTTTTCCGAATGCCGAACCTCACTAAATTTCTATACAATTTACCGGTTTTAGCTTTGCAACAATTTTAATGCAGAATTGTGCAGAGTACTCTCTACTTTTATATGATTTTAGTTAGATTCTGCAAGTTTTGACTAGTTTCTTGCCATGACGTCATCATTTTTTAATACCGAAAATGCGTGTGGTCGCCATTTTGCGAAAACTAGCGGCGACGCCGCGTGCCTTTAATTGAATCGTAATGCACACTTATTCTCAAATTTACCATCTAAAACTAGTGCATGTTACTTACCATATTGAGTTTTTTCTAGTTTATTTCACACACAAATAGGAAATTTCACAAAACTTGTGATTAAGGTCTGACGTGGAGAGCGTTTACGTTCGAACTACCGGTTATGAGGTTTTACAAACATAAACTTGAAGTAAAAGTCGCAGCGACCTGCTTTTATAGTTTAAATTTTAGCGTTCAGTGTGACCGAGGAATCTTCGCCAAAATTTACCGCACAACCCTCAAAGTAATACCAAAATAAACCTTTTGCTTCTTAAAATATACTGAAATAAACCGTAGTCTTAAATCAGATTCCTCGATTTTGATGTGCTATTTGTTATTACTCACTTTCAAAGACTTTCACCACTGAAACAATAGTTCAATCCGATTGAAGAATCAGTTTGGCGTATTATAAATGCTTACTTTATTGAATTGAATACCTTATGACCTTATATTTTTCAAATTTGTATTTGAATTTTTCGTTAAAATCGCCCTTCTGGAAGCAAGGGAGCTTTGTATTCAGTATGTAAGTGTATGTAACATGTAGAATCACATGCATGTTAACTGATATCATTGAAAATTATTTAAAAATAGCGCGCTCTATAAAGAGGGAAAGAAAGTATATGGTTTTCCTGAAGGTTTGGTTTGAGGGGCAGTTCTTCCATCTTTACAACATATTTGGGCTTAGAATTCGGGTTGCATACTGGAAACATTATAATAATTTTCGTCTAACTAATCACTGATGGATGGTGTTTTCTTTGATTTGATTTCTTTTATTTTATTTCTATATATATTCTAAAGTCAAATATTAATATTTTATATATTGCTCAATTTTATACCCTGCGCTCGAAGAGTAACTAGGATATAGTGTAATTGTGGGGAATAAGGGATGTATGTAACGCACAGAAAGAAACGTTTCCGACCCCATAAAGTATATATACTCTTGATCAGCACCAATAGCAGAGTCTGTCTGTCCTTCTTGTTTGTTCTCAGAAACTATAAGAGCTGGAGCAACCAAAATGTGCATCGAGACTGCTGTGATATCACACTGTTACAAGTGTGTATGCATGTTTACCAAATAAAACATTGATCACTCCAAAGAGCACACCATTAGTATTCCCTACCTTAAATAGTTGTACCATGCGTGAGGTATGCCAACCTGTTTTTAATACGTTGTCAGGGGGGCTCCACTCACACCACCTACGCATTTAGTTTGTGTGTGTAATTTACGTGTCCGACGCCATTGGCACTAGAGTTTGTTTTTAAATTATTAGTTAGGAACAAATTGTATTAGAGAGAAAATGAGAATCGAAGCATCGGAGTTGTTTTGGTTGAATAAGACTGTGTACAGCAATGCCGAGAGGTTATATTACGAGGAGAGATGTATTCATATGATCGAGCAGGTATGCTACGACTATTACAAATGTTGAGTTGCAGCGATAGGCTGAAAATATGCCTCGCATCAATGGAGTCGCTTGCATTTCAATTAAAATGCCTAAGTGCTGCTTAAAACTTCAAGATTGCTCACATATCGAATTGCATGTGTTGCTCATATACATTCATATGTATCTATTGTGTGCTGGTTTAATTTTTCCCAGTTGGCAGCCCCTCAAAAATCAGCTGTCAGCTCGCATTTACTGACAGTTTGAAATTGCACGCACTCAAACTCAACAAGCCGGACCGGACGTAAACACAACTGAAAAGACAGCGCAAAAAGTGACATTTCATAAAATTATCTTTTACTTTGACCTTCCCGTACCATACAGGTTCCCGCTGTCCGTTCGAGAAAGAGCAAAAAGAAGATCAAGGCCATGGCGGCCCGACAGAATCCACAAAATGTACCATACGTGAGTGAAGACTGAGCTTTTACCTTGAACTATGTTTTTAATATGCACTGGAATACGCGTGGCAGTTAAATCCCCTCACGCTGGAGGCCAACTTCTTTTTGGAAACCCTTGAGGAGGTGAGCCGCAACAACGATGTCGAATTGGATCAACATTTGGCAACGCTGCTGGAGCGCGTTATGTTGGGCATCGAAAAGTACTTGGACCGAAAGCCCACCTACATAGTGCCTGGAGAAGGTGTGGTCTTTGTGCCTCCGCAGGAATTGCAGAAAATCAAACGCACATTCAATTGCACAGCGTGTGCCAACCAAATGGTTGGCAAGCACATTTCTAAGGTTGTGACGCATTTGTCCGAAAAGCACCAGAGCCCGGATAACGGAGTGCCTGCAGCGCAGCAGTGGAAGCAGAATAGGATACCGACCGAGGGGGCCCCACGCAATCGATTGATAGACGTTCTGCCCAAGAGTAAGTAGCGTGAGACTGTGTGTGCCCATGTCCGTTCTGTTATCCGACTCTCGCTTTACAGAAGCCAAAGCCTTGGTTATGTCCGATCTCACAAAAATTTTCAAGGAGAGATATGGTGTGGCCGACAAGCTGAAAGTGATACCTGAATACGATTTAATCGAGGAGGATCTAATAAAGGTGCTGACACCCGTGTTTCCAAATAGCGCGATGCGCATTTACAAGTTCGGCTCACGCATAACTGGCATTGGCACACGCTGTTCCGATCTGGATATATTTGTGGATATTGGTAAGTGCATTCGATCACTTAATCCCCACTGATGTCTCATTGATGTAACCATTGCATTGCGTTTACAGGGAACACATTCGACACATTTGAACATCGCGCCTCCAAGGACACGTTGGGCAAGCTGCGGGCCATGCGTCCAGTGTTTTGTTCCAGCAACAAGTGGCGCATCGTCAATGTAACTTAATCTTCAAACTCACATCATTCTGTTGCATACTAAATTATGGCTTTCCTGAGCAGGTCATCGAGCAGGCGCGCGTTCCAATCATCAAGCTCTCCCATCTGTTGACCGGCATAGAGTGTGACATATGCCTGAATAGCCTGGGCTTCTGCAACTCGAACCTATTAAAGTACATATTCGAGACGCAGCCTTTGGGTAAGCGTAAAAACATACAGTCCCCAAGTCACGTTCCATTCCTCCGATAATTGATTGTTCTTATCTTTTGTCGGGGCAGCTCAATACATGTGCATATATGCAAAAAACTGGCTAGAACGCTGCAAGCTGACAGACATCTCCACTTACAGCATTGTTTTGATGGTGATATATTTCATGCAGCTGCATGGCTTGCTGCCCTCGGTTTTTTCCTTGCAACATGAACAGCCGTTGAATCAGTTTGTTGGACGTAAGTCGGAGATGGTTTCACGACATTTACCATGGATTTAATTCGGTTTGTTTGATTTCAGCTTGGATTGTCAACTTTGGTCAGAAAACTTTGCAGGATCTGCGTCTGCCGGAAGCCGATACGGATGTGCAGACAGTTCGGAACCTTTTGAGGTCATTCTTCACCTTCTATTCCACATTTGATTACGAGCGTTTCTTGGTGTGTCCATACTTTGGTAGCCGTGATATCCAAATTCAGCATGTTGAGAAGCTAATGCCAAACCGGTAAGAGATTTAACGCACTTAGAGAATTGTATGGACTAATTGTTCATTTTCAAATTATAGTTTTACTCAATACATCAGGGATAATCCCGAGTGTACATTGCAATTGCGAAAGCCAATGGTTGTCCAGGATCCCATGCAGTTGAATCATAATGTAACGAAGGCGGTAACACGATATGCACTGCAGACGTTTATAGATTATTGCCAGCAGACGGCATCTCTAATGGGTGAGCCATCGACCAACTGGCGACAGCGCACATAAACATAGACACAAAAGTAAACAAAACACAGAATTCTCCTAAATTCTGCTATCTGCTCTTAGTTTCGAATTGATGTTTATCAGAGTTTTCTTTTTGTAAATAAATCGGATATTTTTGCAACGCTCGCTTGTCTGCACAATGAGGCAATCCGAGCTTTTGTGGCAACAAGAAAAAAAAACAAAATACATATTGCTGAATTGTATATTTCACTAAAAGGCGCTGAAGTATCGCACTATCGTATTATTTTGCTGCCTTATGAAGCAAGATTTGGTTTCAATTGCACTAACACACTAAAAAGCATCAAATGGCACACGCTGGATGGAGGCCAGGAACACAATTACAATGGCTTACAATACGTCGGGTACGCGACTGAAGATCTTCAATAACATATAGATGGTAAAGCCCACGATCATAATTAGCCCCAGCAGATATACGCGATTGCGCCAGTGCTGCTTGGACTCCTTCATCATGTTGACAATGCGAATGGCCGACTCTTCCGTTTCCTCAACTCTGCCATTATTGTCTATGACAAAATGCGATTGTTCGCATTTCTTCTCCAGCGGCATCTGTGACTCGATCCGGTGTTTCGCCTCTGCCTCGGAAAGCTCATTGCGGGCAATCAAGCGTTGGAATTGTTTGTCCGAATCGCTGAAATAATACATAAATCCAGAGTGAATTCAAATCAACTGTGCAGAATATGTTGATTGCTTACCAAGAAACACAAACAATTTTGTAGATAAAATCCATTAGAATACCAGTCTCGAAGAGCAGCGGCAGGTCAAGGACAATCCACGAATGTCCTGTGACAAACAGTTTGAATGCCCGCCAAAAGATCTTACGGTGTATTTTTGGATGCGTAATCTGGTTCAGCTTTCCACGCAATTCCTTGTCCTCGAAAATCATGCGTGCAAGGACGGGTCGGTTTATCTCCTTGCTGGGGAGGAGCACTTCCTCGCCAAAGGCAGCTCGAATCTGTTCCCAGCCAGATTGACCTGGTTCCACGACTACGTAAATTAAATGCGATAATTAACGGTAATTGTTCTCAATTACTGCAGCTCAACAACAGATTCTTCGTATCTGGACTACTCACTCTCCCTAGCGATTTTATCTGCATCTATGACGGCAATGCCGTGACGTTCAAACACTTTGCTAACGGTACTCTTGCCCGTGGCAATGCCACCAGTTACGGCCACAATAAACATAATTCTAGAATATTTAAATCAAGTCTGGGAATGTTATATTTAATGTTTATTAAAATACGATACGAATGTGCAGAAAACGCGAAGAGGAGAGGCCAAAAAATACTGCTTAACTATTTTTCAATTCCCAGCACTGGCATGCCTCAAATCTAGTATTTTGCGATATCCTTGGTTTTGCGCCATTTAACAGCACTTTTTCCATATATACATCTATGGAATTGTATATAGCAACCAGTGCTGCCAACACTTATGGTCATAAAAAAGCTAAACTAGACTTTGAAAACAGCTAGAAATAGCCAGAAACATATGATAGCAGCTGTAAAAAACGCAGAAGTATTGAAAAGTAATTCTTATTTAATTTTATTATAGCTTTTCAAGATTGTTAAACATTTCCTCATCTGCAGCTAAACTTTAGTAAGTCAGGAATAGGTAATCACGCATTCGGTAATTGAAAAAAAGTTAGATCTAGTGGAGAAGTAGCTAAGCTGCCAACACTGTGTTTACGGTATATTTTGAAAACGAAAAGGTATATTTCAGTATGTTTGGGAATCCGGTCACATTGCCTAAAACCAAGATGGCGATTTTCTTCAGTTTGTGAAATTACACGCGCATTTTTTTTGTAAAGCTAGTTTCAAAGCGAAATTAATATAGAATTTCACGAGCAAACGTCAAAATAAACTGAAAGATCTCTTTAGCGCATTGATAACAGAGCAAAGATGGTGGACAAAATTGAAATGAGCCTTGACGATATCATCAAGTCGACCCGCACACAGAAAAAACCACAGGGTGCGCGCGGCGGCCCCGGCGGAGCACGTCGGCCTGCTGGACAACAGCGTTTTCCGGCTGGCGGTCCGCGTCGCGGAGGTGGAGCCGGCTCATCGCCAAGGAAACCAGCGCCAGCAAGCGGTGCAGGCGGCGTGCTGAAGGGTCGCCGTAGTGGCGGTGCTAGTGGTGGTGGCGGCGGCGCCATACAGAAGTCGAAATTCGCACGGGTAATACATACGTTTTGTCTCAAGTAGAGTCAAAGAGAAGCATCAGAGCAGCAAGCAAATATCCATGCATTCACAAGGACACCGCCATGTGTGAAACTCGGAGCTCTGACAGCTGCATTAAACATTCACACAATTGCATGGATTCAAAATGGCAACCATGCATGGCAACTAACGGTGCCTGAGCTGTTTTTTTGCGTGAGAGGCGAGCGAAAAATGTAAATGTAGCTGTTTATATGGACTCCTCCACACTCCTCGGATCGGCTGTTTTGAAGGGAATTCCTCGCCTGGTATCACCTCGTCGAAATCAAGTTCCTTTTAATACAGTTTTTCCAGACAGAAGCAATGAACGATCAGCGTTTCGTATTGAGTTCTTTCTTTCCCCAGTTCCCAACGCTAAATATTTTTCATGCACAATTTTTGTGTTTCTTCATGCGATGGCGCTGTCCTCATGAGGCTAGGATACCGACAACTGCTGCGACTGCTACAACTACTCCCACAATATTTGATACCCAACGCGCTCAAACCAACATACCCTTCTACCTAATACTACCCCCACCTTTAGGGCGATGTGAACAGCGCTTGGAAGCACGATATGTATGATGGACCCAAGCGCGGTACTGCCAGCTCTGGATCCGGCCCAACCCTCCTGATTGTTAACAATCTGGACTACGGCGTTTCGAACACCGACATCAAGGAGCTATTCAATGAATTTGGACCGATTAAGAAGGCAGCCGTGCACTACGATCGTTCCGGTCGCTCCTTGGGTACGTTTTGAAGACTCCCTTATCCAATCGAGCCCACTTTTAAGGCTCTTGATGCTTGCACACACAGGCACCGCAGATGTTATATTCGAACGTCGCACCGACGCAATGAAGGCCATCAAACAGTACAACGGAGTGCCATTGGATGGACGTCCCATGACCATACAGCTTGCCGTATCCGATGTCAATGCTTTAACCCGTCCAGTGGCCTTAGGGGATATCAAGCATCGTGTAGGCGGCGGCGCCGGGGCCTCGGCTCCTTACAAACGCGGTGGTACATACTTATCTAATGATCACAAATCCCAGTCCTGGCACTAACATTTCGCCTATTTTTGTAGGTGGCCAGGCCGGTGGACCGCGTCGCGGTGGCTTGAGACGTCCGGCCCCGGGTGGTGGAGGTGTTGCACCCAAGCCAGCTGGCGGAGCACGCCGCGAACGCAAAGCCCCACCAACTGCCGAGGAGCTAGACGCCGAACTGGACTCGTACATTAATGACATGAAGATCTAAATAGTTGATAGTCTGATATTTTAGTCTCTAACAAAGATAAATGAACACCCCACTAGACTTAAGGCCTACCATAAGGACGGAATATCCTTATGGTAAAATAACATAATTCTGTACCAATAACGACGCCGCGCAAAGGAAAGAACCCGAAAAGCAGTTTGGAACGAGTACTCTTTCATCTAGTAAGATAAATGTTAAATTTAAATGCGTCAGAACGCATGTGAATACTGCAATGTGGCGAAAATAGTTTAAATACAATTGAGCTGTATTTATTTAAAATAGACATATGCTTTAACGAAGTGAGAATTGACTATGCAAATTTAATGGACACTTTTTTAATTCTTAGGCTGAAGTGTAAAATATAATAGAACTAATTTCGAGCCGGAATAATCATCTCCGGCTCGGATCATGCATTCTCGCTATACAATAAAACAATTTCAATTTATAATTAAATGTTTTTTCTTTTATTTTTTGAATATATTATATCGATAGTTAGAAAATGTTGTGGTTCTTTTTTTTGGACAAGTTGTACAGACTATTAGAAGTTCCCTTTTGGGGACACTCCTTAAGTACAAAATGCAAAATTAAGGTTCGTTTTGGTAGTTTTGTTTTTAGGTGGTTGAATGGTTCTTTTTCTTTGTTAGTTTTTTTTAGGGCGGAATCACGAGTTACTTAACTTTTCAACAAATGCGTTAGACGTTTAGAATAATAATAATATACATGAAAATGCAACACAGTAGGGGGAAGGGATGTTGATTTTTGAGAGCTATGTATGAATAGATTTCTTCGGCTTCCATTTTCCAGCAGATCCGTATTTGAATAAAGATAGTTCGTCTTTTAATATATATATTTATGGTAGTGTAGGTATGTTGAGGTGTATACGTATGTTGATAAGCGATTTATATTTATAAGTTTATGTTTAGTTCATGATTGTATGTGTAGTATGTCGGGGGGTGGCTGAGGATGCATGAGTCATTAAATGCTTGTCTGGGGCCTTCTCTTCTACCAGAAGCCGCCCGACGAGAATCCTCCGGGAGGTACTCGTCCTCGCGCCTCGCCATTCGTGGCCGCCGGCTTGTTGTCCGACTCCTTGGGCTGATTGTTGGTCACAGGCTTGGATTCCTCCTTCGGAGTGGTTACATCGTCGCGTAACTTCTCCACCACCTTGTTGGGGTCGGTCGAGCCCATGCAGGCATTCAAATTGGAAGAGTTTTGCTGATTGTATTTGGGACGCGGGGCGGGTACGGCAACTTCTGGCTCCGAGAAGATATTGGTGTGTCCGCCACCTGGTGGCTTCAGCACACGGCTAGAGGGACGAGTGCTGCTGGTCATGCCAATTTTTAGCTCGGTGGAAGTCATGCTGTTGTTTTTTTATTTTCTGCTGCAATGAATAAGAAACAAAAGCGAAATTAATATACGGCGGCCTGCAGCTCTCACATTACAATGGCAGCATACAATAATTTCTAGCCTATGGAAATACACCAGTCACGCCACTTGCGGATGTGGCCAGCAGAATAAAGCGACTGACGATGACGACGCGCGCGCCTTCCGCCCTACTGAGGAAACTCACTTTTCGAACGGCGAGAGAAAATGAGAAATTCACATGTACGAGAGTTTGTGGATGTGTGTTAGTATTCTCCACCGCCCAACGCCACAATGGTTGCCTGGCTATTGGCCCCTCTCTATACACAAAAATTTATCATCTCTATCTATCTATTTTTGCTGGTTGCGTTCTCTTTACACTTTGCCGTTAGCTGTAATTGCGCGTTTTGTTGCTGTCGCACTTTCTTTGTTGTTGCTTTTTTTCGTTTTGGTGTCAAGCTTGACGGAACAGTGGGCCAAAACTGCACAACTATTGGCAATAAATGGAAGATTTCTATGTAGTAGTTGCTGCTGTTGCTTTTATCCCCAAGTCTTTTTTTCTGTATTGTTTGTATGGTTTGTCTGTGGGGTGGGCTAAGGAGGTCATAGAGGAGGCGATAACATCTGCCAGAAGCGCTTTTTAACGTTTGTAATGATGCGTCATCATCCTTTGGGCAACGCAGGGTATGGAGATGGGATGGCGCAGGCCCCAGTGGTGTAACGCAGTGGGGTGGCAACATTCATCACAGAGAGACATACATACGCGAAATTATGTTGGGGCATGGGGTAAAACAAAGCAAAGTGAATGACCGCATAGAGTCAAAGATCTCCAGCAGCGTGGTTATTGTATTTCCCATGATATGCGTTAGATGGCAAACGATTCTCTGCTAAGAAAATAAAGGAGAGCAGCAGCAGCAGGCCGAACTGAGGAGACGCTAAGAAGGCCAAAATAGTTTTCATCAAATGTTAGTTTCGTACTCAAAAACAGTTGTCTTTTTTAAAGCCAGATATAGCGGGAAGAGAACAGAATTGGCAACACTGTGCCTGCCCTTAAACGCGCTTGCCGGCTCACCCATACAGCCAGAGACGTATAAACACATGCACACAAACAACATTAACTATGACGGTGTGCTGGTATTTTGTTGAAATTATGAGTAATGAGCGATCTAGATATAGCTGGAAATTGTCGGTATGTACTCTCTCTATCTCTCGCTTGCTCTCTGTCTCCCTTCTCCTCTCTTGTTACCTATCCTATTGTATTTCGCTTTGTTATGGTTTCGCCATTAGGGAAAGACAAGGCGATCAACAGCCAAATAATACATACATACATATGTACAGATTATGTATATGGAAAAAGCACATTAAGACAGTCGGAAATCAAGTCTAACCAGTGAATGGGGCCTACTTAAACGAATTTTCGATTATAGCTTAAACCGCGATGCACACCGAAACTGACAGAGCAGAGGCAGAGATTTGTTTTTGCACTGTTGCCCGGGATGGCGGCTCGGCGTCGTCGTCAGCGTCACTTCCAAAGAGTAGAATCGCGCGGCGGGCAAAAATTTAGGTTTAAACTGCCTCTAGCTAGTTTTTCAGGTGGCTGGGCCCCCAGTCAGCCGATGCATGCAATCGTTCCGACTAAATGAGCAACATGGCTGCTAAAAAAAGACAAAGGCGAGCAGCACAGAATGGAGCATAAAAAAGGGAGCCCAAGAGGATATGTGTTATTTATATGCATATGGCAGCTGTGCTAAATAAAATTTAAACGCGGCAGCTGCACCAAACAACAAATACATGCACACGCACATAGCGCTTGCGCTTCGGCACAGCACATCCCAAGCACCGCCATAGGGACAGACAACCACAAAATTCCATGGCACGACTCTGCTATGTGGAAAATATTGATTTCGTTTTGGGCACATGGCAATGATGGTCGAACTGTTGATCCAACCCATTAGCACATCTTGAAAGCTTACCTTAGAATAACTTTGAACACTTATCAAATGGGTTGGCAAACAAACGACAAATTTTACAAAAATTCTGCAGACGACGCGCACTGGTACCGTTTATTTTTAAAATTGCAGTGTGACCGCGGATTTTTCGACCAACAATACCGACAGACCATCGAAAATTAACCAGAATATACCATTGAATCTTCAAAATATACTGTAAATATGCCATAGTCTTAAATGGCATTCCACGATTTTGATGTTATATTTAATATTAACAGCTTGCAAAAACTTTTAACCCTGAAACAATAATTTAATCCGTTTGAAGAATCAATTTGACGTATTTTAAATACTAATTTGTATTGTATTGTATACCTTATGATCTTATATTTTACAAATTTGTATTTAAATTTTTCATTCAAATCACCCATCCTGGAAGCAAGTTTGTGTTCAGTATGTAAGTGTGTGTTGCATGTAGAGACACATGTATGTTATCATGATATCATGAACATTTTTGAAAAAACATATCTTGTTTTTTAGTAAAATGGAAAGGGAACGGGAACACCACAGGTAAATATTATAATAAGCTCGGAGGGGTTTGGGGGGGCAGTTCTTCCATCTTCACAACATAATTGGGGCTTAACTCCGATATATCCGGACGATATTGGAGTATTGTTCTTGTGTGTGAAGTCCTCCATACAAGGAGCAACACGTTCTTGTTGAATTCGCTCAAAAATAATTTGTTATATTCGCCTTAGAAATCTGAAATCCAAGAAACCTAACAAATTTTATTATTTTATTGACGACACCAAAATATCGGTATTTTTGTTCGATTAGTGGATAGATTGGCATGCGGTCACACTGCTGCACTTTTGTTGACGTTTCAAGTTTTTTCACTTTAAATTTCCATATTAAGTTAGCTTAACAATTAAAATGGGCAGCGACTGGGATGAGATAAAGCGCCTGGCGGCGGACTTTCAAAAAGCACAGCTTACCTCGACACTGCAGAAGTAAGTACGTGAATTTTAAAATATTCCCATTGATCCGACCCCCTACATTTACCATTTAAAGGCTGTCCGAACGCAATTGCGTGGAGATTGTGACGCTGCTGCTGGAGAAGCAGCTGCTGGAGGTGGTGTTCACCAATGATGGCAAGGAGTACATTACACCAGATCACTTGGAGCGCGAGATCCAAGACGAGCTGTATGCGAATGGAGGCAGGGCCAATCTGGTGGAGGTCAGCAGGACATTGAATGTGGATCTGTCCCGCATTGTGACATTGGCCGAGCGCATTGCGGCTGAAAACCCTCTGGTGCATCTGGTGTTGGGCCAGCTAATCGATGAGGACTACATCAGCCACATTGCCCAGGAGATCAACGAGAAGCTTGCGTTGCGTGGCGAAATATCCATTTCCGATTTGGCCTCCCAATTCGATCTGCCATCGGAGTTTATGCAGCAGGATGTAGTGGAGAAGCACCTGGGCAAGATCATCAAGGGCCGCCAAGACGCGACCAACCCGCGAGTCTTCTTCACGCAAGCCTACATCCAGCGATGCAAGGCGAAGATACGCGGTGCTCTGGCGGCCATCACCAGACCCACAAATGTGGCTGTCATTCTGCAGCAGATCAATGTTCAGGAGAAGATATTTCACTCACTGCTAGACGAGATCTCGCCGGCCGGACAGGTGACCTCAAAACTGGCCAATGCCCAGTACGTGCCGCACATATACGCCAAGACTCAGGCTGATTGGGTGAACTCCTTTTACAAGCAGAACAGCTTCCTGGAGTACGATGCGATCAACAAGCTCGGCATCTCCGATGCCAAATCCTATATACGCAAACAATTTCCCAACGAGGAGTTCTTGTTCCTGAAGCGCGTAGCCCTGGGCGCTCGTCTTGTAGAGCTCACCGTCGTTACGGCCCTCAATGAATGCAGTGCCACCAAGCAATACTTGGACTTGACAACCATTCTGCCTTCCAATCTGTCGGAGGAGGATATCGAAGAAGTCTTCAGTGCTATTATGGCCCAGAAGCACAGCAATCCCAGCAACTTTGTCTACCTGGAGAGCATCGGTATGGATTATACTTTAATAATTCAATGGACTTGTGCTTTATTCTGTGTGTTCTCCTTGCAGTGTTCTCGCAGCCGTATCTCACGCAGCTGGTGCAGCCATGCCATGCTCTGGCCGAGGCACAGGCCAAGGCAGCCATTGACACGGGCGTCTATCAGCAGTTTATTGTGGATAAGAGCCTGGCTCAGAAGGGTAACGCCTCCTTCCAGGATCAGGATGATGATGGTAAAGTGGACAAACGCGATGAGCGTAGGAAGAAGGCTTCCTCTGGCAAAGCCGGTGGTGGCGCCCAGGGACGTGAAACCAAAACAAAGTCAACGAAAAAGCATCAACGACGCAGTGCAGCAGCCCAGAATGATTCCGATGACGAAGACGATGTGCAGCAACAGGGCGCCCGCGGAGCCAGCGGTGGCGGTGGCAACAAAAAGACTGTAAAACCATTGGATTTGGTCAAGACGGCCGACATTGTCAAGCTCATCAACGCTAGTCTAGAGGAAGAGGGCCTGGAGTACTTGGCCCCATCGATTGCAGCTCTTTATCTAAAGTATGCGAAAAGTGAGATTACACGGGCTGTTGCTTTATATTTCTCTATCTATCTCTAACAGTCAATTGAATCAGACGGCGCTGGCCAAGGCCCAGGAGTTGTATGAGGCCACACCGCAAACGAATCGTCGGCAGACCCATGCCGCCATTCAGGATCGCATCAATACGCTGCTGATAGACATACGGCTGTATGAGAAGGGTCTGAAGCTCTTTAGCCACGACACTCAGACGCAGCTGGTGAAATATCTGCTGAAATCCCTTGGCAATGACATCTGCAATGAACTGTCGCTGTATGTGGCCAGTGAATGCAATTTGACGGTGAAGAATACCATCTTGAATGTGGATCAGCGCATCAAATTGGCCCAAGAGTGCGATGCTCAGTATCGTAGTGCCCTGCTGGAGCAAAACAAAGCCCTGAACAAGTCCATAGATGAGTTTGAGCTGGCCACCGAATCGGTGTTAAAAGCCTGCAGCATGATTATCAAAAAGGTGGACAGGAAGAAGGATCGCCTGCTGATTGCGGATCACAAAAAGAAGCTGCAGCAACAGCTGCTCGACTGCCAAGAGCCAGCTCTGCTGCTGCATTTGGCTGCCCTGATACTGTTTACCACAATTAGTGGCTGCATTTTGCACGCCTCTGGTAAATTCGTCTCTGCCATATTGCAGCACATTCGTGGCTCTCTAAATGATGCCCAGAACAACATGCTGTTGCGCTATCACGGTGTGTATTTAATCATCACCGTGTAATTTGCAAATAATTATAAACTTTATATTCTCTTTGTAGATCTGGTGTTGCTAGTGCTACAGGCAGCGCCAGAAAGTGACGATTCCAAATTGGCCCACGAACAATTGCAGATCATGCAGACGGAGGTGGTAGAGCTGGCCCAGAACTTTACGCGGGCCTCGGTTTCCAAGGCAGATTGAGATCTCTTCCTTCTTCATTGATTACATCTTAAATTACAATTGGTTTTGGTCTCTAAGAGAGAATTTTTGTTAAATTTGCATAGTTTATAATTTGTATAAATTGTTTTTTTATATTTTATTATTGCTATGCACGAGAGTCGTCGAGTCGCCTTGAATACAATCAGTAAAATTACAAAAATGGTTTAAGAGCCTTAAACAGAGTCCCACAATTTATCACTTTGAATGTTTTTTCTAATGTTTATAGGATTGGATTAGGGGGTTTAGGTTTTAGGCAAGCGTTTCTTCTCATTATTGGTGTTTTTCTAAGATCAAGCTCAAGAGCACTCATTATTTAAGGGGGTATATACAAATTGTTTAAAAATTCTTACAAATTAGTTTTTCTTTAGTTTAGAGTTTTGTGCTTTGCATTGCCTTTCTATAACGTGAGTATTTGATTGTTTTCGTTTTGGTGTTTTGAAATGTGAGCGATGTTGTGTACTTTAATAACTATGTAGTCTTATTAGCATTTGCTTGGCCTTTTCGCAGGATTGCCTAAAGGAAAAAAGATATAAATATTAAAGTTCTGGCTTCAATGTCAAGCTTTGCCTGTACTCACATAAAAACTGGATTGCTGGAATCGCAGCTGTCCAATGTTTGTTTTATATACATTATAAATAGTTCCAAATTCTTGAGAGTTTCGCTGTTGGGCAGCAACCAAACCGTGGGCAGGGTATTCACTATGATATAGGCCTTGTTGATGGCATCATTGGGCGAGCAGACACGCAGGGCCAGCAGCAGGTAGCGATTTAGTAGCCCCCCAATGGCCAGCTCACGCAGTAGCTTGTCCCCCAGGATGCCCTGCCAGCTGAGAAAGTTGCGAAAGAGCTTCAGACCGCTGCAGAATTGACGCTGAAAGAATGAAGTCTTGGCTTCTTGCACTCTGTAAATATAAACAGTTTAGTACCTTAATTTGTGGTTAAAAGTTTTAACTTACTGCTTGGGAAATATCGGTATAAACACATCATTCTCCAATGCCAATCGCATGCGTTCCATAATTGATTCAAAGAGTTTCTTGAGCTGCTTATTGGTGCCAGTGAGTGGGAAATCACGACCCAATCGATTGATAAAGCCCACGAGCCGCAGTGTTTGAGTGGTAGACAAAGGATCCCAGCATTCCGTGACCAAAGCTAAAAACAAAACAATATACAAAATGGGTTTACTTTAAGTAGTAAAAGTAAGCAATTCTGGCTGTACTTACAGGTCACTTTTGGCAGCACAATCTTATCAATGAGCGATGGCACTAGATTCACATCTGGATCGTTCTTTAGCTGCTCCATTGTTTCATCTGCCTGACAGGCATACAGCATGCAAGCCTGATACCAGCGCATTGTCTCTATGTCTGCATACACCTCCAGCAGTGGCGACCACACCAGCAGTTCGTGGCGCACTAGTGGGGCCAATAGTTTGGGCAAACACAAGCTAACAAACGCATCCAGATACGAGGACATGTCGGTCTTTCGCCAAGCATAGAACTTCATGAGAATGAGCTCGATTTTACAGAATTCATCGGTGACATCTGCAAACGCTTCGTCAGCTTCCTTTTGCGTTTGCGCGGTGGCAAACACACTCTGTTCCTGCT